CCCCCCGACCGAATAACAGAAACTTCATGTAACCAACCTGAACCCAGCGCTTGACCTTGACCAACATCTGAAGTAACTAGTACAAGACAAATGGACCGGCCAAACAAATGGACAGGCCAACAGACTAACAACAGCCAAAAAGATCACATGATAGACTTAGACTGTCTGGCTCCATAATCCGTCTCCTCTTCCCCTCGTACTCGTAAACTTCGTCCGACTGCGCGGCCGCATCCTCATTCTCGCTCACGTCGTCATTCGAGCTCATCCCAGCGTACTCTCTAAAGACGGATTGCAGCGTCATACCACAACCAACAAGGGGGTGGTTGGAGTTGGGGTGCAGTGGTATTGTTTCCAGAGTGGTGTGTCAGAGCAGTGTTGTGTACTCGACGAGAAAGCTCTTTCTGCTTTCGTTGATCTGACTGGCATTGATGAGCATGCCGGTCAGCGGACAGAGGAGCATCCCCGGATTGTTCTCCTCATCGGGGTAGGCGAGATGGCAATGGATCCCGCACACGTGCTGTTCGTCGTCCGAGGCCGCTGTGGATCCGGAGCTGCCTTCTTGAAAACTTTTATTACCAAACTGGGCACTACCAAACTGGGTACTACCGAACGGCGCACTGCTGACCTCGGTACTACCAAACCGGGCACTCAGTATCAACGTGGTACCGGTCACTCCCCTTGCTAGAGGACTTGTTCCCCCGACTGTTCTGGTCGTGTCCTTCAACGCCCCGGACTCCGACCGAGCGGCCTCCGACTGAACGGCCTCCGACTGAACGGCCGCCGACCGAGCGGCCGCCGACCGAGCGGCCTCCGACTGAGCGGCCTCCGACCGAGCGGCCTCCGACTGAACGGCCTCGGAGCGAGCAGCTCCGGTCTGAACCGCTCGGCCCAGGTCCGCGGCCGCCACAGTCTCCGTGGCGTTAGTCCGGGGATTGGTAGTGGCATGTTCGACGGCGAGCTTCTGGAACACTGCGACGACGGTGGAATAGACGAGGTAGGAGGCCCACTGAAGCCCCATGCAGAAACGTGCGTTGTCTGGCAATTTAGCCAACGCCGACAGTGTGCCAATGTGTTGCGCTGGATGCTCCATGTGGTCGAGCCAGAGACGCGCCACGTAACTAAACGCGCACGGGTAACTCGACTCTCGCCGACATAATGCTCGAGAATACAACAGTGGGTTCTGCGGGTGGTTCACTTCCTGCCATCGCCGACGCGACCGCGCACTTTCACGTCGTACTATATAGTCGCGAATGTATAACTCAGTCCTGCAACAACCACACGGTGAAGGAGGGGGTGAGGGGTTTCATACCAGAGTTGTGGACTTTGCACGGTGCGCCACCAGAGGAGGTTGAGGGTGCTGCACTTGAGGATGTCCGCTAGGGGAAGCTTTAAGAGGACCAGGAACCGCACTTCATATACGTCCATTAAATTCTCATGGCCGAGTCGTCGTCGTACCAAACTTGCCAAAGCAACAATGACGCGTCCTCCGTCGAGTCCGCCGCCGTCGAGTCGGGCACGCCCGTGAACCCGGAGCTGACTAAGACATTGCAGACGCATGCCCTGCTCGAGTACGTCTTCAACATTCGGTGGGTCAAATTGGCTGAGTCCAGCGCCGCCACGGAATGCTTCGGTAAGACCAAGGGTTGATCGTCACTGCCCCGTTGGTCGTCATTGCCCCGCTGGTCGTCACTGCCCCACTGGCCATTAATACACCACCTACGTCGCCCTTGGTATTGGACGCACATAGCTGTCGTTCACACACACACGCCAGTTGTTCACACCACACACACGCCAGTTGTTCACACATATGGCACACATGATTGTCGCATACTTAGCGGTGAATGTGTGGTCGCGTCGGTGCAACAGCGCGCGCGAGAACCGGCGGTCAGCGCTGGACGAAGAAGCGTTGGTGCGATGGAAGGATTGTGCTAAGGAGTGGCCGTTGTCAATTCGGCGTTGGCACACCGAGGGGCAGGACGGAGTTTCGGATCCGGTGAAGATTGAAGGGGATGACCTGACGCCGCCAGGGGTGGTATGGTTGTCGTTTGCGCACACAGATATTTTGTTATCAATGTTAGCTAAAGATTTAATACGTTATCATCGCGATGAATTGTTGGACCGTTTGGCGCATGTGTATTACCAGGCGAGTCGAGGTTTGGATAAGCACCTGGCATTGTCGCGGCTTTGTGCTGCACTTAAACAGAACGGTGTAGATGTGCAGCGACATATGAACAGTGTGATGGAAGCTTGCGTTAATTATGCTGCTCTGGCGTACAGTTGTCCCCAGTTTTATGGACTGGATACCTTTCCTGAGATGCTGGATAACTTTTTCCATTGCGCTCGTTCACCCTGGGGAGCCTTGGTGTTACCGCTGTATGCCGAAGCTATGGAGTGCACTGGCATCCTGGAAGAAGTCCTGGACAAACTCTTCGCCGACTTGATGGACATCACGCTTGGAAATCTCAAACCACATACAATGCATATGGCTAAAACGCTGATTAACATCCCCGTCGTTAGGGAAAAACTTGTCAACCGACCCTGGTGGCTCGTGGATAACAGCGCACTCGCCGTAAACCCCGGATACATGGGCCCCGATGGAGTCGGCTACCCCCTCGGTCAAGGCCAAGGTGGAGGCCAGAACAAGGGCGGCTTCACCTTCATGGTAGGCACTTTCCTCGGCCGCTTGCTGACCCCCACACCGACGGACAAGGCGGTGGTCGACGAGTTGAAGCAACATCTGCTGCCGCGGGCGGCCATGCCAGGTGCTCAAAAGGTGATGCAACGCGCGAAACAGGCTGTGGCCTCTCATATTAGCCAGGTGGTGCAACTCATCAAGGTCCTACTTAAACACGGGGGCTTTGTGCGCGAAGCCGTCATTCGATGGTTCGTACACGTCCTCGAGGCCAACAAGAACCAGACCACAGTTAGCTTCCGCCACTACCAGTCACAGGCTCCCCAGCTTTCACGAGGCACCGACCTGCTGGCGTGCATCGTGCACAAAGTTTGCACTCAGGGATTCTCCTTCAATGTCGCGTGGGTCATGCTCGAACTCTGTCGACCAATCAAAATTGAGAAGCTGGCCGATCTTGATGGCGTGTTTCCAGAACTCTGCAGACTCGAGCGCGACGGAGGAGTGCTGGGACTCAGCTGCAAAGACGAAAGTAAAATGGGTGACGTCCAGGAACTTGAAGCAGCGTGTAAGGAACTCATTGCCGGACCAGCGGGACAGGCGTCTTCCTGGGGCTGCAAGTTTACTACTCAAATCTTCTGGCTCACCTTCAAGGCTTCACGGTTCTTGCTTTATCAAGCGTTCAATGAGGCGTATCAAAAACAAGTGCACCTACATAAACTTGTCACCGAACAGGATTCGAACTCGGGAGCTAATGCTGATACTAGCCTTGCCTACTCACAAGTACTAATCTGGCAGACATGCGTCCGACTAGACGAATTCGCCTCTGCCTACCTCCACTTCATGGACCTACTCAACGGCTTCGTCGCCAGAGCCGTCTTCTCCTACGACCACCGCGGACACAATGCGGTCTACGAGCCAGCACAGCTGCACCCGCACCCCATCTGCAAAGCCCTCAACCTTCCCAGATCGCTCCAAGCACCAGCCCAAAGGTCTCCGCAGTTCATGAACATCCCCATCTCCTACTTCAATGACGCTTATGACGCCTTCTCGCGCTATGTCTCGCTCAACATGAGTCCCATGCTAGTCAACGTAAGTCACCGCCTGACCACCAGTTGGTTGACCCATACCGGTCCTCCGTTGGTTTACCCCTAGTTAGTTGATCCCAGTTACTTATGTGCTTTCAGCAAAATAGTGCGGTTGTGGACAACGCATTTGGTTCTACCAATTGCGAGCTTTTTGCTATTGTGCTATTGTTCACGTTAGCGGGTCCAGAGGACTTTATTAGGGCTGCTCCACTAAGGCTAGAGGTGGGTGGCAGATGCCTTGCCCAGTTGACCGATCGGCTTAGGGACCGATTTGGCCAGACCTACACCGCTCAGATCCATTTGGCAGCTGCTCTATGCATGGCATTTGTTCACGCACAAAAATGTAAGGACTCACGAGTGTCCGCGCAATATCACCCACCTTCGAGTGATCGACAACATTTTGTCTTCAGTAAGTTATTATACGAGGATTGATATGAGGCTTGTGTTGACAAGAGAGTTGGAAATACTATTAAATCGTCCATCGTTTTCGGATCAGTTGTTTGATTTGAGTCAGGAGGACTCTGAGTTATACGAGCGGTTCTTGCACTACTTTGGTTCCAATACATCGTATGTTCTGGAAGAGGCTTTGACGTTGCTGACTGAGATTAAGGCGCGCGAGGGAAAGCCGGAAGAGCCTGAGCCGCAGGTGCAGTTGGATGCCAATGGGTTGCCCATTGGGGAAGAGGAGGAGGAGCGAGAATTTAATCAGCAGACGGAGAGAATGGCTCAAGAGATTGAGGGAACGCGGAACGTGGAGGAGCTGAGCTTCTCCCAGCTGTCAAGTCAATGTCAGAGTTTAATGGATGCCGGTTCAGCGTCGCTGAACGCGTTCAGCAGGCTGGACAGCAGGGCTTTTGATTTTATCCGCAAGTCGGACGCACTAATCAACCCCACTGTCTGCTGCCTTAATGGCTGTCTGAACTCTCTGGTGGGGCCAAAGTGCATGGCACTGAAGGTATCAAGTTTCGAGAAATATAAATTTAGACCTAGACAATTCCTGGCCGACCTTATCGAGATTTACGTAAAACTGACGGGGCTTCCGAACCTCTCTAAGACGCCGGGTCAGGCCCCCACACCTAGTCAAGCTACGTCTAGTCAAAGCGCCACTTTAGATTCCGCGGAATCGATCACAAGTGACAATTTAGTACTGTTGATAAAGGCAATCAAAAGCGACGGTCGGTACTACGACCAGAAGACATTTGAGAAGGCGGTACGGATCACTCGGCGGGAAGGGTTAGCAAGCGGCCCCAATCTAGCCCGGTTCCAACAGCTGGTAGACGCGCTTGGAGGTGATAACCCTAACGACGACTTCTTGGAGGAGTTAGTTATGTCTGGTGAGGTCCCGGAGGAATATATCGACCCTCTCATGAGCGATGTGATGATGGATCCGGTCCAGTTGCCCACTTCCGGAGTTGTTGTAGAGCGTAAAGTCATTGAACGTCATCTCCTTAATGATCGGTTCGACCCCTTCAACAGGGCGCCCCTTGAAAAAAGTCAACTTGTGCCACAGCCAGAATTGCGAGATAAAATTCAGCAGTTCATCAAACAGGCTGTTGAAAAGAAAGCAGCCGACAAGACGACTATGACGGCCGTCCCCTAGCCGACGAGGAGTGCCCAAACAGTGGCAGAACAGCAGTGGCCACGACGCAGTGACCACCTCAGCCATCTTAGTGCAGCTTGACACTTAGTGTAGCTTGACACTTAGTGTAGCTTGACGCTTAGGTAGCTTGACACTTAGTGTAGCTTGACGGTTAGTGCAGCTTGACAAAGATCTTCCCTGATTCGTACAAGGAATTAGGAGACTGATAGCCGCGCTCTGAATACACGGAACTACAAGACTAGCGTATGGGCACAACAATCTACAGAACAGAGGGCGGATAAACAGGGGTCCTGTTTCGACGCGAACGTTTTGTGAGGCAGAGTGAGTCATACTCGGGTACGAAGCATCCAGTCAAGTAGTGGGCACCTGGAAAGTCCTTGGAACAGTCTTTCGGTAGCATGAGGGATATCAGTGCGTCCCATCCTTTTAATCCTTTAGGAAAGGGCGCGTCGACCTCTGAGCCTGACGGCACATCCACAGCAACGCAAATACCACCGGCTTCACGGATTTCCTAACGGCGTGCCGTTGCAAACGAGAACATGTGGGAAACAAGGACATGCGGGAGGTAAGGACATGTTGGAAGCAAGAGTATGTTCACCAAGGAAGGGAAGGAGGGCGAAGAGGGAGATTGGATTACATTGATCCGGGGGCCAGTGTTAGGGCGAGTGTTGGACCGAGGCTTACGTTCATTATTTTGTCCCAAGGAGATCTTAATGATGTTCCTGAAAAACCGAATCCCACAATACAATCCACATACACCACCTCCCGGTCGACTACACAGCCCTCAGCTCGTCTCTCCACATGAATACCCGAACATACGAGCTGCGTAATCAGGGCGTCATAAAAGGGATTATCCCCCTGCTTGGGATAGTACACTGAGACCTCTGAATAACCCATAATCTTCATATATCGAGCTGCAACAAGCCCATCTCCTCCATTATTACCGCTGCCACATAGAAATACAATCTTTCGCGTCTTGACACCCCCAAGAAAATCATCCAAACAGCGGGATACACCATTACCCGCGATCTCCATCAACTGATCAAAGATCCATGGATCCTCAGGGATGTCTTTACTTGCTCTAAACAATAATTCATGCCATTTGGGCTCATGAGCCATTCATCGAACGCCTTTGCATCTTTTTGCAATATTCAGGAACTCATCGCGCGCGTGTGCTATGAAATTAATTTTAGCGATTTCGTTGCGGGAAGCGTTCTCGCAGAGCATCAGGCAACAGTGAGACATCGAGCAGACATAACAATGTCTCTTAAGGACAAATCAGCGGCTGGCCATTGATATCCACTCAAAAAACCCATGGGAGGCGGGTACCTTCTCAGGTATGGACACGACTAAATATCTGACTTTCAAGTGCACTCCGTATGGAGCCCAGTGCTATTCACACAACCAGTGTTGTTCAGGCACCTGCCATTTGAATAACAATGGTTTTCAAGCATGTAATCAAGTGTGAGTCGACCTGCATACCGATTTTTTCAGGTTCATGGGGATTTCGAAAAGGAGTTCGGCACTTCCGAGATGAGCCGGTCTAGGCGGCCTGAGGACATTCATGGAGAGGATACAGAATGAGAGCTACGGGTGTTGCGCACAGTTTGAAATCGAAGTCATAGGGCCCGTGGCATTTAAGCTCGTTCTTGCCGGGCACAGCGTACATCCAGTCGAGCCAGGGCCGTTTCCAGTTGGTTGGGTTCAAGGGGTTCGAGTCAGGCGCATCCCGCATGGGGTAGATGCCATCGCACCAACTTAGAGCTTCGTGGAGTGGCTGGTCATGGGTGCTGCCTTTCTGATCAGTTTTGCCCTTTTGGTCAGTCTTCCGATTATAGTAGAGGAAAGGAAGTTTCTCATCAATAACTTTAGTTAAGTTGTGATATTTTGGCATCAAGACAGCGTCGAAAGACACCCGGTCCAGGATGCCCGGTAGATTCCGCCTGGACGGTATGCGTGCGTCGTCATAGAAGAACTTGAGGTACCAATCGACACCGTTCCGGTCTGTGTGTCGCATGAGTGTATTTCCATAGTAGTTCCGTTCGAACATGTCTGGCGTGACCACCATGCTGGTGGGGCAGCCTCCCTGGATGGCGCAGGATTTGGCGACGCCTGCGACCCGGAAGCCGATGATGGGCCGTCCCAGGTCTTCCTCATCATCTGCGGGGGCGGCCTCCTCAGCTCGGGCGGCCTCCTCTTGAGCTGTGGCGTCGAGCGGGTCATTGTAGAGTCCGTCGGCTCCGCGTGTGGTGTTGAAGACGGAGATTTGACGGCAGTAGGGGAGCGTGTTGCCGCTGACTCTGCAGAGGACCATGTCTCGGGCGTGCATCCGGGCTAGAGCATTGGCCATGCGTCGGTCTGGACTGGGTGCAACGAGTTCAAGGTTGTCCCAGACTAGAGTGCGGGTAAGGCGGGTGGCAGTTCGGGTAACGGGTCCGTCAGGGTCGGGCAGGGCGGATTCAATGACGGAGGCGGCGGCGTCGAAGCCGAGGGTGGTGAGGGGTCCCTGTGCCTGTCTCCTAAGTTCATTGGGAATGAGTCCTCGGGAGCCGCCGAACATGGCGCTGCTACCGGAGGCGTCGAGGCGATCCTGAGCGCGACCAAGGGGCGAGGCGTGGTAAATATTTTGGACGCGACGGCCGAAGGTACGGGAGATGTTTGCTAGGGTCGCACAGTCGTTGTATTTGCAGTAGTAATCCATAGGCAGTCGCGTATCTGGTCCCCGCAGAGGCAGCGGTCCGGTTTGGTCGGGGATCATTGTCGGAATCGCGACCAGATTGCTTTCGTCGCCCGAAGGTGCCCAGGTCTCGAAGAAGTTTTGGGCAATATGGTAGGCCGGGATCTGCAACGGGGCCGGACGCGTAAAATTGGCCACCGCCATAATCACCGGCGATTGCATCCGCTCTTGGATGTACGGCGTGTACCGCGTACGCGTGTTGTGCAGCGCGTGATCCGCCGCCGTCAAATTCAACGTGTTCACGGGATGCCCCGCGCGCCGGTGTTGGTCCACGTGGACATCGCTCAGCGCCTCCCGCAGACTGCTCCAGCGCGCACTCACCTCGTCTTCGTCGAAGGACGGCCGCCCCGCCACCTCCCGCCCCGTCCAAAGCAGCGCTAACCACCAGTGCAAACGCGTGTGCATGCTGCAAACGCGTGTGCCCTCACGAGACCCCGACAAGCCAGCTAAGCCCCAAAGGCGCCACTTCAGGCCCTTCTAGTCCGCCAGGCCTCAACAGTGCGCCCGGCGCCGGTTGCTGGGCCCCAAATAGCAGCTGGCTTGTTACTAGGTCGTCGCCTCGTTCGCCCATTCCAGAAACTGCCGCGTCGCTGACAGCCAGTCTCCTGCTTCACAGGCCTGGGCGATGCCTTCAATGAAGACCGGAGGTGGAAGTCCCGGCGGGACTGTGTCTGCGAAGGGTTCAGGGTACCGGGGCATGTACCAGGGAAGGCATGCCTGTGACCGCATTTCTTCTTCAAAGGCGCCCAGAGCGGCCCAGTCGAATGGGTGGCTTTCCGTACTCGAGGCAGTTTTTGTTTGTGCCTCTGTCGCTGCCTGAGGCGAAGATTCGGGGTTAGAGCCCGGATTTAGTTCAGCGCCGGTTGGTCCAGGGTCTGGTGTTTGGTGGACGGATTTGAGGACGTGGTCGGTCGCTGTGTGGGAAGCGATGTCCTCCAAAACTTCGTCTGCGAGGTAGCCTCTGCTGACCAATTGAAGCATTTGTTCGGTAGGGTCCTTACTCCCCAGTTTCACCACGGGCACCCCTGCGTGTACCAAGGAGCTGTCGACAATTACTGCTTCCTTAACGGGCACACCTTGTAGAGCTACGGCCACCTTTGCTACGGAGTGCGGAATTTGTGGAGCTAGGCTGCCCAGCTGTCGATCAAGCTTGGGCTTCGAACCGCGTGTTTCATCCAACTGTTTGACCAACTGCGGTTCTAAAGCCGATTCACCGAGTTCTGCACCAGTGTACATCTCTTTAATTGCTTCCTTGAGGTGGTCGTTCAACACCGACGTAATTCGGCCCCCCATTGGTGGCCATGGGAGCGTAAAGTCTGTAGGATCGTTTAAAACTGCTTCGTAGTCGGCGTACACGTCTGATTCCCTTATTACGGATAGAGTCAACGGGTCAATCGCCTGCACCAACTGCAGCATTCTGTCCTGGAGAGCCATCAACAACTGGTTTACTGACGTAAGAACCTTTTGGTGTTGGGCTATCGTCTCTCCTAGGCTGCCATGATGCAAGTTGACCTCCGGTACCGTGGAACAAAGCGTTTGTCGACTGCAAGAACGCTGTATCAAACGTAGGACCCATCAAAGATAGGACTCACACGCACTTGCGTCTGAGATACGTGTGCTGCCTGCATTGCTTGTGCTGCTATTTGCTTGCATTACGTGTACTGCGTGCTTTAAACTGCGTGCTTTAAACATAAACGTTAGAACGTGTGCTATAAAAGGTGCGCTGTAGAAAACGTGTGCTGGCCACACGCGATTTCCGTCCCAGTGATTGCTACCGCACGGGCGCGTGTATCCGCGACATAGGTGATTGTAGCAAGCTTACTAGGTTCGTCCGTCTACTTCTTCGAACTCAGTGTTTCCAGCTAGGGGTTTAGCATTGGTCAAGGGAGGGAATTTCGTCCGAGACCTATACTTAGCTTTTAGCATGTGAAATCAGAAAAAATGCGCAAGCCGTTGCGCAGAATAGATCGTGTGGCGGCGTGTTTTCCGGCCCCGCGGGACAAAGCGATGCAGAAGGATGAAGAGGTAGTCGGGAGGTATCTGGACAGGTTTCGCAGGCTGCATGTTATACTACTGGTCCCCTACGCGGTCGCTTGGGTGTTTTTGCCCGTTGAATGGAGACGTTACCGTGATCGGGTCTACTTTGGGGAACTAAGTAGCTTCGGGAAAGCAAAAGAAGAACAAGTGAACCAGTACCTGCAATTAGCGCTACCACACGGACTATTGAACATCAAGGTTGCAACCGTGAGCACAGCCTTCATGCTGGGCACGTTGCTGACCCTCTTTTTCATCACGAGTAGCTGGCTACTTCAACGAAATGCAAGCCAGAAACGTGTGCGAAAATTAGCATACTCGACCGCCCTAAGTTTGGAGTACACATGGTGGATCGCCCTCCTGACACAAGTCGTGCTGAACGGAACACTAGAGTGGAACATGCCAGCGGTTCCCTTCGGGCCAAGTCTCTCAATGCTCCTCTCTATTTGTGGCTACCAATTTATCGCTCGTCATGAATGGACCCACGCCAGCCTCAAGACACTGACCCGGACTGGGCTCCTCAAATATACAGACGACTTTACGACCGTGCACGGTTTCGCCAGTTTGCTAGCTCTGCAGTCAGGACGGCGGCCGACCTGGATCCAAGTTGGCTCTGAAATTATCTCAGGGACTTACCATAGCTTCCGGTCTTTGGAGAGAGTGATCGTGGTCGTGTGTTTGTCTCTACTCTTTGTGGACTGCCTGGTCGCCGTCAGTCGCATCCGGGCGTTTCTGCAAATGCATAGAGCTACCAGCACCAAGTGCATCATGTGGCTTGCATCGTGGCCACTGTGGCTCAGCGCAATCGGCGTCTTCATGTCGGTCAACTACCTGATAAACTACCCCCAGTGCACGATGACGGACCACCTGCCAGGGACCAATGGCACGTTGCTGGCGAGCACCAGCCATAAGTACCCCATTCGTGCACCGGACCACCTCTTGTTCACCAAAGCCTTCCTTTTTGGTACGAAGGAGTTCGCAACGAGCACCTTCGAAACGAAGGCAGTCGAAGCCAAGGAGGCTTTCGGGCCCGCAACCGACCCGTTGATCGAAAGCAAGACCGCCTTCGAAGGCAAGGTTGAAGGCGACCGGGAGGGTCCCTTGTTAATCCACGCGGATGTGTACTTACCGTTGTCATTTTTGGAGCGTTACATTGAGCGCGGTGAGCGGGCGCCATTCACAGTCTTTACTGCAACACGTTACAACCGTGCGACGCAGGTAATGTGGCCCTTTTCGATCTTGCCGATATGGGGCCAGAAGGCCGGCACAGGTCGAGCGGCTGTTTTTAGTTGGCCGCTGACGCGTGGGTTGTTGCGGAAACAGGTCCCATCGGTCGTCGTGGATGCACGGGGCAGCGGCGGATCAGGCGGTGTGCGATTCGTGGACCTGGACGACCGCGAGGTGGCGGAGGTGAACGCGGTGGCGCGGTGGGCAGCCGGAGGTTTCTGGACTGAACGCTTTCTGGCGGCTGGCGGGATCAGTTACGACGGCATGACGGCGCTCAAGATGGCGACACATGCAGACGCCGCCATCAACGTGACCGTAGGTCTGTATTCGCCTCTTGCCCCCGTGACCGACTTGTTGCAGCTCGACGGTGTCCCATGCTCTTCTTTCCTGGACGACTACGACTCGATCACGCGCTCGTTCGAACGCCGAGGTACCCCCGCCGCACACTTTGTCCGTGCCGTCCTGCGCGGCCTCACGCCCTTCCACACCGCCGCCGGCTTCCTCAACGTCTTCAACCGCGCCCTCCCGGCCGCCGGCTTCGAACTAGACCTCAGCCTCCGCCCCCGCTCCTGGTCCATGAAAGAGCAAGCCGAAAGCAAAATGTTCATCACCGACCGCATCGTGCTGCAGGACGGACGTGTCACCCCCATCGTCAACGCCGGACTCACCCACGCTGACTACCTCGCACTCATTCACAAACGCCTCCCCGCCTACTACGTCTTCGGCGAATGCGACTCCTCCGCCTTCCGCATCGGTGAACGGCTGGAACACCTCTACCTCGAACACGTCTACCACGACCACGACCAACACCTAACAGGTGACACTAACACGGACGTCCCATTCACGCGCATCGTCTACGGCCCCTGGGCACACGGCGGACGCCGAGGCTGTCTCTCGGGAGGTGGCGGCAGCTGGCCTTGTGCAGAAGACTACATCTACGATGAGTTCATCGAGTTCATTCGGCGCGCCAAAAACGGAGACCGCGGCCTGCGTGTCCTCCGCTGGGAAAGCATTGGAGACACCGGTCGCTGGCTCCTGAGCTCTCAACCTGCCGCCCCGTCCTCCAGCTCGCTTCTTGGCGCTGCCCATTATGGCATGGGCGACACTGGCTCCTTCCTTGCGCCGCTCGTGCCCGTCCGACCGAAAAGGGAACTACTAGCTACCGAACTAAGCAACGCAGGGGAACATCGTGCAGGGGAACAACATACGGGGGAACAAGCGACCAGGGAGGAGCCGAGCGAGAAGCAGCCGAGTGGGGTACTGGAGGAACGGACAGTGCTGCCGAAGCAGGTGCTAGGATGGATCGATCCCGAGATTGCCTGGATTAGGGCGCGGGAGAGGTTCAGTCTTGCGCGCATGTTCCGAGGCGAATACGTCGCTAAACCCTTCCTGCCCCACTGCAGCAATCTTTGGTGCAGTTTCTACCACAAGTTCCGTCTGCCCGGCCCGCTGCTCTACGACTTCCGCACGCACTGGGCCATGAAGGACTTTTACGGACTGGCTTACGACGTCTCTGACTCAGTCACCTACCTCTCGGACGCGTTCCGGCGGGTGTTCGAACATAACACACACTCTCCTAGTAAGTCTTGTTCCTGGTGTGTCACTCACTGGGGGCGTCACTCGCTGGGTAGCGCGCTTGTTAGGGGCGGGACCGTTTGTTAGGGGGGCACTTGTTACGGGGGGGAGGGGGTGCTTGTTGAGGGAGATGTCAGGGGGTCGTGTTGGGTCCCACAGATGGTTAAAAACTCCGTTTGCAGGAAAGACTGAGAAGAAACGCATCACGATTAGGAATAACACGTTGGAGTACCTGGAGGCTGAGCTGCCCGAATGGACTACTGGTCGCTACAGTCGATGGGTTATCGTGCAGCACCTGCTCAGGTTACCAGTGGAGTACTCCAACACCAATCCCTATTCTCCAGCGTCTCTTCCCTCCATTGTCGTTGAAACGTTACCCCTGTCGGACGACATTCTCATACACGGATCTCCCACAGTCAGTCTCCGGCTCCTACTCACCGAAGAGGATCTTCCTCATGCAGACGAGCTTGTGCCCCTGACCGAGTTTGTGTCCGAGTTCGAGTCCAGCGAGAGCAAAGGCAAGGAGCGTGCAGCAGGCAAGGAGCGTGCAGCAGGCAAGGAGCGTGCAGGGGACCGTTTTGTTTCTCCGAATGAGCCCTCGAGCGGACAATGCCGCGTCGAAATTCCATATGGCAGTCCAGATGAGGAAGGCATGGTGTGTCATCCGCTCGAGTCCCGTGTGCAGAAGGACATGTTGGTCTCTGCCGTGCTTCACGTTCGCGAGCCGGACGGGCGTCTTCATTATATCACTGAAGGCCGTTTATTGCTGAGTATGAAGGGCAAGCACGACGTGGATTGGGCATTGACGGACGCATATGTAGCGGAAGAGTTGGCACACACACACCCAGTAACTCGGCCGTACGGCCGCGACTTCGGCAGCACGGACCATCGGTTTCCTTCGCAACTGTTGCGAGGCGAAGTGCCCGCAGATCACGGCAGCGTGGAGAACCCAAACCTCGGGAACCCAAGCCTGCTTCTGCCGCCGCCAGCCGTGGTGATTGACGCACGCATCCTACTGGAGTCCGTCATACGCAGAATCCCACACCACAGCCGTCTCGTGCTGACCCTCTTCGGACCAGATCGAGACAACTTCCGATGGGACACCATTGTTGACAGATATAAACGCCACTCTCGCGATCACGGCAACCAGGCCTTCTCTCGCGTCGAGAAACTGACCTTCCTCAAGCTCCTCACCAAGGTCGACCAGACTCCCACAATCCCGCTCGTACTGTCACTTCCCAAGGGACTAACTTCTCAATGAGCATCTCTACATACACAACGCGTAGCACACCAAACGTCAGCGTGGATCGACCGAACGAACCAACCGGAAGGGACCCGAAAGGAACCTCGCCCGCCACATCGTGACTTGCCTCACCGGAAGAGCGCGACTCACCCACGATGACCTGGAAGGCCACAACCTGGAAGGTTACAACCAGGAAGGTTACAGCCAGGAAGGCCGCAGCCTGGAGGGTCATGGGAGCTACTTTTTAGTCCGAGCTAGCCACAACCAAAACCAAGCACAAAGCCGAAGCCAAAGGGTCAGCTCCACGGGCACCGCCAACTCACCGTGTTTAGTAACTCCGACGGGTCCCGTTGACGGGTCATGTTCAGTGGTGGGTCATGTTCAGTGGTGGGTCATGTTCAGTGTGGGACAGGTCGCTTACAAATTTTGCAAACGCTTCACATAGCTGGTTGGTAGAAGAATGTGGGTCGACGGAGGCATGATTGGATGCTCCCCGTCGAAGGGATCGTAACCCAAATCGCCGGCGTCACAGGGAGTGCTCTGCTTCAGTCGGATTTTGCCGACGAACGACTCAACCAAGGCTGAGAACGTTTCGTCAATGACTGGAACTTTATCCGCCTGGTCGTAAGACAAAACACGTGGGCGCGTGAGCCTAAAAGAGCAGGTTAGGTCGTGGTTGCGTGGACTACAAATCGTTGGGGAGACAAGTCATTGTTGCGGGGACAGGTCATCGCGGGGACAGGTCATTGTTGCGGGGACAGGTCATTGTTGCGGGGACTTACTTTTCTTTCGCTGCAAGAAAGCCTCCGCAACCGGTACTTCTACGCCGTGGCTCTCGGGGTTTACCTACATAATCTATTTTTGGTTGTTCGAGGACCTTCGGCTGTCCACTAGCCGGCTGCACACTACTCGCTTGCGCGGGAGTAGGCTGCCTAATATTCGGCTGACCTGTAGTCGGTTGCCTAATGTTGGGGTTCACTGCGGTCCTCGGTATCATTTGCTTGCCTTCAACCACCCGAGCCGTATAGACCTTGCCGTCTCCGTCGCGCCCTGTCACGTACCGAATGGTCGCAGGCTCCTGTCGTCTCTCAACGTACCGCTTTTCATCATACCGCTTTTCTTCGTACCGCTTTTCTTCGTACCGCTTCTCATCATACCCCGTCTCATCAAACCTCCTATCATGATTAACCGTTTCGGACGGTCTATCCGCAAGCCGATCGCTAGGTCGGTCACTAGGTCGGCCTGACGGCACGCCAGGACGGCTAGTAGGCGGCCGTGGAGAGGATGGGGGCTGATTCCGCGATCCATCGGGTTGCCGAAATACACCGATTTCGTACGCCTGCCACGGACGCACCTTTTTTGCCGGCTCGTCTTCAGGAACGCGCCTCCCGTCCTCCAGCACGCGTCTCCCGTCTTGAGGCCGGTAAACTTCATGCGTGACCTTTGGCGGAACCCTTCTGGCTGAATTTTGGGGACCGGTAAAATACTCCGGACTGGTGGAGTACTCAGGACTGGTGGAGTACTCTGGACTGGAGAGTGGTCCTAGGTCCCTGATACCAGGGTCTCTGATACCAGGGTCTCTGATACCAGGGTCTCTGATACCCGGGTCTCTAAGACCAGGGTCCCCAATGCCTGGGTCTCTGACTCCAGGATCTCGGACCCGACCCCTCGCTTGTTGATCTCGGCTTGTGATAACCTCTCCAGCACGAATAGTAGTTCCTAAGGGCAACTGAGACGCACCGCTACTCCCACTGGTTCCCGTACTGTGCTGTGAAGCATTGCTGGTCGGGGAGTTAGCGCTTCGGGTCGTAGTTCGACTCTGCGGAGAAGACCCCCGCGACATGGAGGAAGCGGTATAGCTTTGAACACTTGCAGGCTGAACAATTGTTCTGCGACCGCCGATCACTTGGCCACCGGCTGGTTGACCATTAGCAGGTTGACCATTGACAGATTGACCATTGACAGGCTGACCGTTAACAGGTTGACTGCCGGCGACCGGGCCAGTAACTCCCTGACCGTTTATTCCCTGACCGCTGCCGGTTTGACCGCTGCCGGTTTGACCGCTGCCGGTTTGACCGCTGATCGTTTGGCCATTGATCGTCCTACGATTGACTGTTGGGTTGCTGACTGTTGGCGCTACCCGCGAGGAGCTTATCATCATTCTGCTCGCTGGTCTGACAGAGGCAGAACTGGATCCGCTCTCTGAAGCAGGCATGCGCTCTGTTCTTTGGACTTGTGTAGGATCAGCAGAAGGCTGCGGTGACTGGTCGCGACCAGGCCGCACTCCCTCCCGCGGAGACCCCATATCTCGCCACATGGGAATGTCTTTCGGAGACCGGTTCGGGGTACACTCTGCTCGTGATATAGAGCGCGTAGTTAAAAGGGCGTCTTTGCGACCACCAATGCTTTGTGGTGAGGTCACTCTTCTGAGGTCCTGTCTATGCGCCTTTTCTGGTCCTTCTCGGCATTTGTAAACCACCGGACTCTGCGTGTAACTTGTTCCCGAACTCGGAGCTTGGGAAGATGTTGTGGTACGCACCACTTTGGTTCCCTTGGGTCCTCCGGCGTAGTACATTACTGGCTCGGGGGGCTCATTATTCCTCGCCGGGGTTTTCCGTAACTGTAGATCTGGCCTGAACAGAGGATTCTGCCCATGGCCTGCTCCTCGTTCCTCTCTAATCAAACAGTGATCTACTCCCACCCCGCGGCTCTTACTGGACAAAGGCATTTATAGGCCTCGGATTATTTTGACCAGCACGAGAAGCGTCTACGGACATCAAATTTGAATTCATTCTTATTACAATATGAGCACCAAGTGCATAACTAATACAACTCTTGAACTAAAAATCGAGTTCGCGCGAACTAAAAAATCACCGGCAGCCGGCGCACACGTGTGCGATGCCTCGAAATGCATGAATTCTCATGACCACCACTAACAGGAAATCGCTGGGCCCGGCGGTTAGCGATATCGCTGGCTATCAGCCTTTTGAAAATGACCTTCTCGTCCAATCGGAGTTGTTAATTGAAAAGCAAAGAGAACACATAAAAGATTTAAAGGAGCGCCTTTTGGAAGCAGATCGATTACGACAGGGAGAAACTGGGAAGCGGGCCAATGAGGTACGAATTCTCAAAGAAGCCAACGCCAAATTGCGGTTGGAGATCGACCTTCTACGAGGGGAGCTAGCTGTGAAAGCTGATGCAGCGGCCGTTGGGCATGAGGGCAGTGGCCCTTGGAAGCGTGAAGTTGAGATTCTTGAAAAGAAGCTCGAAGAAGCGAATAAAAAGTAGGTGTTACGGGTGTTAACTCCTTGATAACCATAGGCTTCGAGACTTATCGGCGGACAGCGATCTTGTGGATCGGTTGAGCCGCGAAAATAAGGATTTGCAGCAGAAGATGAACGACATTTCGGCGAATACGCATGTGGACGAGGAGATGAAAACCGCGGAGAGGCTGCAGATGCTTCAACATCAGATCATAGACGCGGAATCCGTACTGCAGAGTCTGCGGTCCAAAACAGATGGTAATGACTTGATGAGTTCCTACGATTAATCCTTCAGAGGCCCGCGTCGCCGTGTCGTGTATGGCGTACTCGGAATTCGAGCTAATTGAATGCCGCGAGATAATAAAGGACCAGAAAAGTCAGCTGACCTGCTTGCAACGATTAGTCGATGCGGCGGTGAAGGAGAAGCAAATGATTCCTCCAACGCTGGTAATTGACGCTGCAAGTCTGCCGCAAGCTTCCAGGCCGATCCCGATCGCCAACGAAGCGGCGCCTGTCGGCCCGACGCTGCCGCAGGAGCTGGAGGAAAGGTTGAGTCATTTATCGAGCATGGTCAGTCGCGTGTCGTCTCGATTGCAGGAGGGGGCGGATACGAGCAACGTTGTGAATCATTTAGTGAGCGTATTCAAGGACCTGCGGACGAAGCTGGACGAAAAAATGGTCTCTACGTCGCGCGGGTCGGCGGAGCCCGGTGGTGACTTTGTCTCACTCGACGCCAACCACGTCAAGTTAATGGTGGCCAGCGACACTATACCTGCGGGCGGTCTAAGTCTTTTGCAGTTCACAAAGTCCTACTTGGATTCAACGCGAGGCCGCGTGGAGAGCACTATGCATCCTCGCGTCTTGACAGTGGGCAGCAAATACTTTACCATCCGCGAGGACGGTGACAACCGGCTGGTGCTTTACAAGTTCCACCAATGGGACTGTGCGGCGGTCTGGGACGAGATGGAGGGTCAGATTGTGCTGCGCTGCAAGGCCGGCGGAGACGCGTCGTCGGCCGAGTGCCACGTCCTGAACTTCGGGTCCGCCGACCAGTTCCAGCGGGGGTTCTACGCGCTCCAGTATGCAGGCGTGATACCGGCGAACCAGACCCCGGGCGAGTACCGTGACGTCGCCAGCAACGACTACGCCTTCTCGGTCGTGCTCATGGCCCCGCAACTCTGCCCTCAGCTGGAGGGCTCGCGGTTTGCGACCGCCGACTGCACTTTGGAAAGTCTGCGTGGCCAACTCGTCATCAAAATATACAACGGACAAACCGTCTGCCACGTGGACCCCTCTGAGTGCATCTTGCAGTGCGACAGCCGGAGTCAGTGCTACAAACTTTGGGTTCCGGAACCATGCGCTCGCGAAATATGCGGAGGCGCACCGGACGACGGAGACAGCAACGAGCTCATCCCGCTCACCTGCGTATTCGTCAAGCCATCTCAAGGATATCCTCAGTAACCCCCACTCCATCCGTGCCCACCCCCTTAACTCGCTTGTGCCCTAGTACCACCTGCGCCCCAATTCACCCCGCCTCCTACCAGTTGTCTTTGTTTCAGCTACCTGCCTGAGGTCAGTAGGCTCAACTGGAAAGATGTGGTGCTCTCAGACGAGATTTATCCGGCTTTGATTAGTAAACTACTTGGACCTGTCCGGCCCAAGTCCCTGCCCGGCCCAGAGAACCTCTTAAAACGCCAAAAGTCGGGCAGCCAAGGAAGCCCCGATGCTGGCAGAGGCAAGTCTGTGATCATGTCCACAGCCACGCTGGACATGGGCGGCCCCAAACGGCTAGGCAGCAGTGTGCCCGATGCGCCTGCACGGATGGGTAGTGCGAAAACAGGCGACGGGATACCTCAGCAACCACTCCTGTCGAATGACCTGACGATTAAGGACCCGGAAGTGCTGTCGCAGGGTAAAAGTGCTGCGGGAGCCGCAGCACCCGGAGCCGGGCTTCCCACGGGCCCCGGAACATCTATGACGAGACCTGGACCTGTCGTGGGTCCCGGATCATCTATGCCGGGTCCCGGGGTGCCTATGACCGGCCCCGGAGCAGCGTCTATGCCGGCTCCCGCATTGTCTTTCACGGGCCCCGGGGCAGCATCTATTGCGGGCCGCGGAGCAGCATCCATGCCGGGTCCCACAGTATCTTTCACGGGCCCCGAACAAGCATCTATGGCGGGTCCCGGAGCATCTGTGGCGGATCCCGGAGCAGCTGTGGCGGATCCCGGAGCAGCTGTGCGGTCTCCGGAAACGAAGCAGGCGGGCGAGGCACCGGGTTTAAATAGAGAGGAGTCGAAGCTTTCGTTGCCGCCGAGCACTTCGATAAAGGAGGCGCACGACGAAATTGGAACGCGCAGTCGGTCGTTTGCGAAGAACGCGACGCAACCGAGCGACCGCCAGTCGATTATCCTGCCGGCAGTGCCGGGCAACCAAGAGTAAGTGTGAGGGTGGGTTGTCATTACGGGTCTTGCAGTTTGCTCCGGGTGGAGAGCGGGCGTTTGACGGTGATGGCGAATGCGTCGCAGGTGTTGTGCACGTTGGAGAGCGCGGCGTATGGAGTCGTTGCTGACTCGCAGAATCTAACGTTAACGTTGGTCCTGCGCGAGAACGAGTCGCCCGTGCACTGGTATTCTTTCCGGATCCTGGACCGGGCGGCATTTGAGTCGAAGTGTGCGAGTTTGTTTAGCAGCGGATTCACGACGGATTCGGGGACGGGTTTGGAGACTGATGGGCCATCGTACGCGGTGGCGGAAGCGGGTAGCATGGCATTGCGTGGGTTTGCGATGCAGCCTGCGCAGACGAGTGTGGTGACGGATGCGGGTCGGCGCGAGATCGTGGTAGCGGAGCAGTTGCCGGAGCGGCGTGTGCGGAAGATTAAGTTGGCGTGTTCGGAGCGCGAGTTTGCGGATTGGATGCGCGCGTTCACGTGGGGCGGGTTCACCGTGGACGGGAAGCCGCGACAGGCGTTGGCGAACCCGGCGTTGGGTCGGTTCGTGTTCCGTATCCCGGTGGCAGTGGCGGCGGCCAAGACGACTGCGCGTTTTTCGAAAGACGGGCGTTTGGCGTTGTTTACTAACGTGGATGACCCGCGGCCGGTCTTCGTGATTGACAAGATTAATTCGGAGGTGGTTGCGGACCCGTCTCGGCAGCTGCTGCGTTGTCGCCTGCAGCCGGAGACGGCGCAGGCCGCCTTGGTAGAGTTGACGTTCTCGGACCAAAAGGCCTTCGACCGCGTGGTGGACGGCGCTTCGAAGAACAAGCTGCTCAAACGCGAGTTCCGCCAGCTGCCCACCGCCTTTACCAACAAGCGAATGCCCGTCGCGATGTTCCGCCAGAATGGTTTCCAGCTCTGGCCCACGGCGCGCGCGTACAACGAGGACGAGGCGCCCTTCGTCATCCTCTTCAACCGGCTTTTCGGTGCGAAACTCAACGAAAAGGAACGTGAGGTGGTCTTTGTGCCACTTGCCCACGTTCACCCTTCCCTCGACGACCTCGCCGAAATCGTCAAGGGCTTCGAATTCAAGCTCAGTGCCACCAACCTCGATTACCCGCGCCTCGTCTTCGGGGTCGTCAACATCGGCATGGCCGGCCGACGCGACGCCGACCGACCCTGCACCGCCGCAGCCACTTTCGAGTTCCACGGCGCCGCCCGCTACGCCGTCCACAACCAATCTGTGCCCATGGAGGGCAAGGTCGACTACGCCCTCCTGAAGCGCGTTTCCGAGGCCAACTCTCGCGGCATGAAGATATTCGCCTCCAGCGGCAAAAAGGCCGCAGCCAAGGGCGCCAAGGGCGCTACCAAGGGTGGTGGCTCCGGGAGGAATCGGGACTCGGGCGGGGATAACAGAGCCTCCGACCGGTCCCCGGCCTCCAGCGTACCCGCCAAGAAGGTCTCTGCGGCAGCAGCGCCCGTTTCCAAGAAAAAGGCGTCCGCGAAGGCAGCCAAGGGCAAACCCAAGCCGAAACCGAAAACGAAAAAGCCCAAGTGGTAAAGCACGTTGGCCCTGGCAGTGACGGCTCATTGACTCTGGCAGTAGCGACTCACTGACCGTCAACCACTGGCACATCCACACCTGCTGATGCGTCCACGTCTACTGGCGCGTCGACATCGACCGGCACCTCGCTCTCCTCGCTGGACGAGTCGGAGAAGGAGTTGGAGGAGATCAGTGGATTGGACGAGGACTCTGGTGAGTGTTCCTCGCCTGCCCGGCGCAGTTTTCTGCTCTGTCGATCGGGCAGGTTGACTTTACGTGGCGGGATGGCGCGCACAATGGCGTCGTTGATGGTGGCGCCGTTGAATTTCACGTCGGCCAGGATCTCGGCGACGGTGTTGATGTTGAGGATCGGGTTCATGCTCATGGCCAATTCCTTGATCGGTAGGCGTCGGCAGCAGGCTTGGAGCTGGTCGGCCAGGTCCTTTGTCATGTTGCGCTTCACGGTCTTGTCGACTATGCCGCCGATGACGAAGACCGTGCGGTCATCCTGCAGATCCGCTTGCGTCAAGGCGGTCTCTGCGTCCGGACTGAGCACGACCACGCGCTCCATGGGGTACTCCTCGTGGAAGGACTGCGGACGGTAGTTCATCTTCCAGTGGACAAAGCCGAATCGGCGACAGTCCTCCTCGAAAGGACACCCGGCTGCGAATGGAGCCAAGTCCAGCTTTATCTGAAGACAGGTGGTGTGGTAGGCAGGTGGCTACGAGGTATGACTATAGATGTTGGTGACGCGCAGGTCGGCGGCGGAGTTACCTTGAGTTCCGGCTTTCGCACAATATCGTTCCACACCCACTGGATCTGTCGGGCGAGGCTGTTCTTTTCTCGCGGTGACATGTCGTCCATGAAGTCTAGGGCTATGCAGATGTGGAGGTTTCCGTGCTCCAGATTGTCTGCGAGCCTTTGCTCCAGGCGTTCCTTTTCTTGTGCTTCTTGCTCCCGCTCATTGTTTATATATTCCTGTCGCTCCTGACGTGTCATGCCAGAGAGGATGTTTTTCCGTGCTTCCTGCCGCGCGAGGCGCTTATTCTTGTTGTCCTGCTTGCGTTTGAGCCGCCTCCGCTCTGTGTGAGCGGCTCTTTTGGCCTCCTTTTTCTGGGCTTTTGACATCTTTTTATTTTTGGGATGAAAACGGAAGCAACCACTCCAGAGACTTCAGGTAAGTGAATTCCCTCGAGCAAGCACCCTCGGGCAAGCACTCCCTCCGACTGACCCCCACTGCGGATAGGCACGCGCCCAGCACTCTCCCTTGGTGTCCCAGCACTCTCCCTTGGTGTCCCCCTCCCACCCGGAAAGCGGTTGGTTGAGTAATGACGGATGATATCTAGTTGCAGAGGAGGAGTGCGGCAACTTGGTGGAACGTATGGCGCGGGGTCTGCGCGAGACGGTTGCGAAGAACGGGCCGGTGGTGACTGAGGGTTTGAAGCAGGTGGTGGAGGACGCGGACTTTGCGGTGGTGCAGCCTACATTGAAGGTGTACCGGTCGAGTGGTTTTCTGGACTCGGTGTTATACGTGGTGCGTTGCTGCGTGGGCTTGGTGGTAGGTTTCCTTCGGGGTCTGCACGAGCCAGGTTGCAACGGGTGGTTCGACCGAGGTTTGGGAAGTGTGATCCAGTTCGTGTCCAAGGCGGAGGCAGGTTTGAATTCACGGAGTGCCACTGTGGACCGCGAAATGGAAAAGTGTCAGCCGTTCAGCACGTCCATAAAGTACGGGAAGGCCGTGCGCCGGTCGGTGCTGGCTATGGCGCAGTGGGCGTCGGACACAGTGATAGAGAGGCTGCCGAAGGTTAACTTCGACGAAGAGAGCATCAGCCGCCTCGGCGGCTGGTTCTACGAGGCCGTGGGCCACACACGTGTGTGGTCTCGTGTCTCTCAGATTTACGCCGGCAAAGTTACAACAAAGGAGTCCGGACGCAGTGAGTAGAACATGAAGCACAGAATATGAAGTGCAAGAAAGCGAGTACGCCGGAGCGGAGGAGTGCCGGGGCTTAGCGGACTATGTTTTTGAAATTGAAAGACTATATAATCTCGAGAGCGGAGATTCGCGTGGGGCGGCCGATTCGCGTGGGACGGCCGATTCGCTGGCATAGTACACACGCACGGCGCGTGGTGCGTTTCGCAGAGTGCGTTGGCTCCGTGGCGGCACACAGTGCGTTTGTTAGACGTAGTGTATGTGACACGGCGCTAGGGGTGCTAGACTTTGGGGGAGTTGTCCATATTGTGGTAGTCTGTGTTGCCCCCGGGTCCGGTGAATTTGAAGGGTGGGGCGGCGGCTTCGTCGAAGCGGAGTGCGTCGATTGTGTTCAGCGTGCGGCCGACGAAGACGAGGCCGAATGCGAGGATGGAGAGGCCATTGATGCGGTCGAAGATGGCCCAGCCGAGGACGAAGACGAGGATGATCGCGAAGAGTTCTAGGAACCTCCAAGGCGGCTGGCCGGAGAAGCGGATAAGTCTGTTAGAGACGATGTTCTTGAGCAGAGGCAGGGAGGCGGCGGTGGAGAGACAGCCCCACATGAGCCAAGTCCAGGCCCGGGAGAAGTCGGTGGGCATGTAAGTGAAGAAGCGGCGCTCGCGCGAAAGGATAATGACGACCGGGAGCAGCACAATGCCAATCACGGCTTGGTGCACATAGAGCTCAGAGGACAGACCGCGAGTTATGTGCAATGACCGCTCCAGAAAGGCAGCACGGTACAGGGCAGTGCTCAGTCCGAAAAAGAGCGACAGCAGAATAACGTCACCGCCGACTGCGAAGTAGTCGAACGCGGAAATGAAATAACCCAACAGAATCACCCCTAACGCCACCCACCGACTGGGCCGGTAGATTTGTCCGCAACCGAAGAAACGCGCTGCGTGGTGAGCCACAATCGCGAACGAGGCAACCACTGGGTACATTGCTACCGACGGGACCCGCGCCAGTAACATGTTCGCCGAACATATCATTGACAGATACGCCAGAGACGGAATCAACAGCTCAGACAACTAAAATGGAATATGTCAAGGAGATGATGCAAGGTGGGGGGGAGGACTTTAGGTAGGGGCTTTTCTGCGGGTGGGCTTTTATGAGGTGCGTGTTGTGTGCCAGGGCAAGCGGGGGGTGCGGATAAGACGGGGGTGCGTGGAGGGGCGTTTATCCCCGCTTCATTACCTTCTCTTTGAATATGCGGGTGGGTGGGAAGTGGTTGAAGTCTTTATACTCGACTCCGAATTCTCCGAGCACGTGTGTGTACAGAAGGCCAAGGGCTAGTTGGATCCAAGTGACAACTAGCGGGTAGGGGATGACCACGGCCATGAGGTAGTGTAGGACAATCACATTGACGATGCTGAGGAGTCCAAACAGCGATTCCAGGCCGAGGATGTTAGGATCCTCGAGGTAATTTACTCGCTCTGTGGGCATTTGATATGCACCTTGCTGCACCTGAGAGCATGCTCCGCACGTAGCACGTTTCCAATGCACTGGTGTAGCAAACTACCCTGGGTTCGTCACGAGCCGACCATCATGGAGCGGCTTTCCGCCGCTGCCCATCGCGCACGTTTCTGGGGCACTTCGCCTGCTTGCTCGCTTAGATCACCACTCCACTGTGAATGGACCCACATCATTCTTTGGACCTTCTTCGTCTTGGTGCTGGCGAAAATACTTTCCCACCTACTCGGACTCGAATGGCCCGCCTCTGCCGAAGGACTACTGGAGAGACTCAACATCAACACTTCCGTGTCGCGGAAAAGTCGGAAGAAGTGAGCACCGCTGCGTCAATTGAGGAAGGACTCTCGGATTTCACTCCGGCTTTGTGCAAGCTCCATGATCTTTTTCAAATCCGATGTCTTCAACAACGGACGTTCGATCTACACAAAGAACAATTCTAGGGCCAATCCGCGATGACTCACGAGACCATACGGTGACGCGGCAAGTGGTCACGTGGCATGCGGTCACACGGTAGGCGGTCAAGGGTCCAGCGGTCACCAGCAATCGAGTGGTCCCGGGTATGCGGTCCCGGGTATGTGGTCCCGGGTATGTGGTCCCGGGTATGTGGTCCCGGGTATGTGGTCCCGGGTATGTGGTCCCGGGTATGTGGTCCCGGGTATGTGGTACTAGTGGCCAAAAAGCACTGGGACTAGTAAGCGCTAGGGACTGAGGGGTAAGAGAATTAGTGTTGGCTGGGTTACCACGGGGTCGTGTCCGGGAACGTCAAGCATCAGACGGAGCATTCTTCGCCGTATGGCGTTAGCCATAGAGTCGGCGGTGTCGAGGCCTCTTCTGGGTATGATCACATAGTCAGCGAATTTAACGTATATCGGGTGTCGGTTAACAAGGAGCTCTCTAGGCGGCCAGGCCCGGTGGCTGCCGTGTATGATAGAGACGTGTATGGGCCATTCGTAGTCAATGGCGGCTCCTATCATTCCGAGTTTAAATGGATTCATACGACCGAACATCCGTCGTGTGCCTTCCGGGAAACAGATGACGGGTACATTGTTG